TTATTCTAAAGACATTAAGAGTCAAAATTTTAAAAGGATACGACTTGGGGTTTTGTTAGAAATATGCAAACTTTGATTTATGATAACCTGTTTGACGAGTAATGAATACTTTTTCATGAGATTATTATATTCGTCTGTTTGTTCCGCAAGCTGATAAGATAGTTCACTATTCTCTGCAAGGAGCGACTTGTTCTTTGCATGACTCTAAAATTTATAATGTAATGTGTGCGTTTCTCAGTTCTTGCGTGATTTCTACATTATATTCAGGTTTATAAGATTAATCTGCCACCAACGGCTGACCTGTTGTTTCTCTTCAAGTAAGGCATCGATTTGTTGTTGTGCGCGTAGTGCATCGGCTTCTAATGCAATCTTCATACTCTTCGCTGTATCACATTCGTGCTCCGCCTCATTTAACTTTCCAAGTTTTCAAATATGAGCACATCAACACTATTAGTTATTACCTTGCACACAAACTTGCACAAACACAAATACTTACGTATTTATTACATTTTAAAATGCGTTAAATTATACTTTTATATTATATGTTTTTTAACCATTTAAATCAGCCAATATCTCAAATACTTGTGAAAAAATTAATCATCAATGCTAACGTGAGATCTCAACAATTTGAGGAGTTTGTGAGGACTCTGAACTTTTTGATCGTCGATTTCATTTTGATGATTTGTCTGGTCCCCTTGCAAAATTTTCTTAACTTTTTTCAACAGTGCTTTGTACCCTCTTTCGTTGGCTTCATATTTAAATTGGGGAATTTTTATTATTGATTCTGAGTTTGCGATAACATTAATTAAAAAGCAATTATCACACGGCAATCAGTAAGCGATTCATATTATTTCAGCTGCGTTATCAGCGTCAATTCAAACTAGGTTAACCAATGTATTTAGTTAAATGAGATGAATGTGGAATCTTAATTAACATTTATATTTTTTAATCTTCTGGACCAGGAGTTGTTCCAATTGTTGAGTCCTGGTGTTCAACTGCGTGATCAGCGCATCCTTTTCCATCTTTATTTCATTCAATTGTCCCTCGTCGTTGAACTTCTGTCAGATTTTTTTATTCAATTGAATTAAAATTATTGAGATCACCTGGTTGAATGTGCTCAAGTTATATAACACATGACATGAAAAAAGTTACTGATACGATATAGTTGTTAAGATTTTTTTATTGACAGGTGTAGTTCAACAAAAAGGTCAAACAAATCAAAATAATAATTGATAACTATAATAACAAAATGATCTTTTTGAAGATACTAACCTCTCTCCATGCAGCAAATTTGCTGTCATCCATTTCCTGTTCTTTCTGTCGTTCCGTCCTCAACAACGTCTGCTTCGTTAATGTATTTGTGTCCTCTAAATTCATTATCGTCTGCAAATATCGTAAAACGGCGCAAATACAAAATTACTCAATTCTAAATAAATTAATAATTAGATCAGTGATGGGACCACGATGATATCGCCCGAGGATGTGATGATAATAATTATCGAGAAAAAGGAATAAAAATATCTTAATTTTTTAATTTAATTACTTAATTGTTTGATTTCACTGTTGCTGTTTGTTGCTGCTGATGTTGCTGATAAAACAGTCAAAGAAACAAACCTTCAAAAGTTTCTTGATGGTAGCTTCCTGGTCTTCAAGTTTCTGCTGCTGTTTGGTCTGGTTCTTCAGCAGGTCAGTGTTCTGCTGCTTCAGAGCTTCAACCTAACAAATATTTACAACATTAAATACTTAGTCTTTCAACAGGTTTGTGATGTTGAGAGAAATAGCGGATGTATTAAAAATAAAGTACAAACAATAAATACCATCAAAAAACTACTTGTTTAAAAATCAGTGAAACAATTTCTATCGAAAAATCAGCATGAGATAAACTAAAATCAGCAATATCATTAACAATGAATATATGAATATATATCACCAACAATTCGACTACAAAATGTGTTGCTGATTACAAGAATCAACAATATAAATTTGTAAAAACAGCCACAACACCATTACAACTTTAATGCGAACGACAGGGGCAACAAAAAACACTTAAGACCAACATCAGAAGTTAAACCTGCTGAGATGTGCAGCAAGAGTAACATCATCATCGTTAACACGAGATGTCAACCACAACAAAATCAACAACAGCTGCAGTATATTTACAGCAAAAACACTACTTACAAGAACTACAACAACAATAATAACAACATCAGCAACAAAACCGTAACAACCGCAACAACATCAGCACAGCAATAACATCTAAACATCAGCTCAGCAACCTCCACATTGGCCCCACAGTACAACCTCAGCTTCAATTCAACGTCCTTCCTCCTGTTCACTTCCCTCTCCAAGTCTGTCAAGGTAGCCTTCAAATAATATTGATAGGGATCATGGAAACGGTGATGGTAAAAAGTGATAATCCACAATAACCATCGATAAAGCTGCGAACACTACGTTATAGCACATCAGAGATGTGGTCAAAGTTATTGTGAAAATTATCGAATAAAAAAATTCAATAAATTATTATATAGTTAGAAAAAGATTTCAGCTTTGTCAGCATAACAGTAACATCAAGTTGTTGTTTGATCGTTGCCCTATCATCCAACATCCTTTCAAGCTCCTTCAACATTTCTTCATGTTGGCTTTCTTCATATTTCAACATTTCCTTTTTACGCAACACTTCCTTTTCCAACCTTTGTGCGAAATACATAACCAGATAGAAAACGATGCTGCATGACAAAGTGACATGTTCCATTCAAAAGATAAACTTCTTGTTAGCATCTAGCCGTCATTCTCATCACCATCGTAATCATTTCATCGCCAGTACGGCAACAGTATCAACGACAAACAGTATCAACGACATCGTTCATCATCAACAACAATGACATCAACCACCTTACCGAAATCACCATTTAAACTGATACAGACCAGAAAAACGAGATGAGAATAATCATTGGCGTACCTGTGCTGACCATCTTGAAGTTCATCATTCTGTTGGGTTGCCTCCTCCAACTGTTCAGTTAGTGTTGCTATCCTGTTGTTTTTCATTTCCAACTCCCGCAACAGTTTCGTTAATGTTGACTTCTGCTCGTCCATGTCTTCTAAAGCATACGCAAGCTGAATTTTGTCAACAACAGCAACATTTTGATAATGTGGAAACTTCTATGAGAAGCTTAATAGAGAAAGTTGTCTTAACAATCTTTGCTATTTACTGTCATCGTCATTATTATTCGTTATCATAATTATGATTATTATGATTATTATTAATTTTAAATAAATTAATAAATAAATTATTTATTTATGAAAATAAATTATTCAAATATGTATTGCTGTCATAAAAATTAATTCAACAGGCATATTCACAACAGTATTATCATATCATCAGCTCTACCGCCACTGTCATTGTCATCATCATCATTATCACCACCATCATTCTCATAATCATCACTACAACCTTCCTGCCAGCAGCCAGTGCAGTGGCTTCCAAGTCATCCAGTTCATCCTTGTGTTTCAGCTGCATCCTCTTCATCATGGCCTCATGATTGTACACCCTGTCATTAACGTCATCATCATCGTTGACCGTCAGCATCTCTATTCTTGATGTGATAACATCATCATCGTCATCAACATCAATGCCGTTAGATAACAAATGAAATGATTCTTTGTATTTCTGCTTGTTGAACTTCATGCCTGATTGGACAGGCCCAGCCATCTGAAACGTCCAACATTTCATCTCAAGAAATTACAATACAAAAATATTTTCAAACATTGAATGTCACCTGATTATCATCAGCTGCAGCATCATCATGATCACGATGATGCTGATTGTTGTGAGGAACATTGGCGTGGATGATGTGTCTCAACTTGTTGACCACCCTCCACCACGGACACCTCCTCAGCACCATGAACTGCCTCATGTTCTCCTGGATGCATCTCATCGCATCCGTCCTCATCTGTTAACAGATGTACGAGTAACGCGTTCACTTGTTCATTTCATGCTTACATGAATACGTGGGGAATAATGCATGATGTGCTTGCTTCACGAGGCTTCATATTCTTCTATACATATACCCGGTTACAACTTTCATCAAAATGTTGACATAGATAATGGAAGTATCATGGCGCAAAGTAATGTTTTCAATTTCCACACAGTAAAAGTGGTGGATGTTTAAGTGGCATGTACACGTTAATAATGGCGCTGGGAATAATTACATCACTAGACATTATTATCATCATCAGCACCAACATCATCGTCACCACCACATCCTGAACAGACCTGGAGCAGTTGAGTTCGCTTCCTGGTCAGCATACCCCTTCCCCATCTCTGCAAGTCAACAATCCACCCACTGATGACGTCATCGAAGGCCGCCTCAAGTGATGACAATGATCCTGGCCTGAAAAACACCTACAAAAAATTATTCAAGCGATGATCACGTGGAAAAGCTTCTGTGAGAATATTTTAAAAAATTACTTTGGTGATTCCCATTTTAAAATTGGACTGTTCGATTTTCTGATTACTGAGAATGAGTTTCGTGAGCTGAAGCAAAAATTAAAACAAGTAAAATTATGATTTTTTTTCAGCAGACAGGCATCATGAAATTAACCTACATTCTTATAATCCCTGCTGTACAGGAGTTTCTGTTTCAACTCACTATTTGGGGCTAATACCTGAAACTTGTTGGCAAATGCGAAATAAGAGAAATACTGAGGGAAGGACATGTTGTAGAGTTTGGAGGCATCCAGAAGGCAAGTGGCTCTCCACTGATCACGAAGTGTTTTAATGTTAATATTGTGCTCTTCATTTATGCTGCTGTCGCTGTTGTCTATATCACCGCTGACATTTTCGTTAGGTGGATTGTCGAGTTGCGTTGGCGATCCCTTGCTCAGTGCCTCTGCAGATACGTTCCAAAAGAAAGAATGAAAATATTCGTGATTTTGATTTGAAATGATATAAAATATGATTTTATCTAACATTAACAACCGCAACAATAACAAGACAACAAAAATAGTAACATTAATACTGACAGAAAATCGTTGGTGTCAGCACTAATGAAAGAACGATAACTGTTATCAATATGGAACCTGATGTGGAAGTGACGTTGTTGTTGGGCAGCCAGCAGAAAACAAATTTCTTCTGTCGTTTGCTCAGCTCCTCCATCAATCCATCCTGCAATGGTGTCAGTGGGTGCGGTTCCATTTTATTCAAACTAAACAATACAACAAACGCAATTATCGAAAATCACAGCATGTTCCGCTTCCTGTTTAATTTTTCGATTTTTTTAATGGTGACTCGTAAATCATTGTCAAGTTGCTGGAGTTCAAAACCAAAATTTTTTATTAATTTTAAGCATGATAGAAAATTAAACAGGAAGCTAACCAACGCGGAACATGTTGTGATTTTCATCAATATTTACAGCGACCGTTATATTGGGCGGTCGCATAACGCGTTAGTTCTTGGGTGCTTTTGGTGGTAGTACAAAGTGAAAAACTCTAACAACAACAACGATAATAATAATAATTTTAATAATAACAATTTAACTCTGACAACTCTTTTAAATTGAGAGTTATGTGAGTAGAATTTCACTCACCACATCCGTTATGAAAGAAGCGAGAGATGAAGATGACAACGACGATGATGATGATGGTGAAGAAGAAGATGAGGATGACTTTAGAACATCAACCCTTTTAATGAACGACATGTTTCTAATAGCTTGGCTGAATTAATTTTTCAAATAAAATTGTTAATTAATAATTATGTTCGACAGAAAACTTATCAATTGTAAGCTGTATTGTATAAATCTTGTGTTACACTCAAGACGTTGATAAGTTTCTCATTTTATTCACACTCGAAGCGCTATTGATGTCAACTTTTTAATCACTATCATCTCATTAGTATTAAGTGTTATCGTGTCAGAATCATCATGTAATTAACGCCATCATCGTCATCTTTAAATCGTCATCACCAGCATAATTATTATAGCGGTAAAGTAAAGTGCCTGGCAGTGCTATCGCAGTGACCGGATTCGATTGTGAAGAGATCCAGCACATGCAACGTGTTCGATGCTTTGTTTCACGAGCATTTAAGCTCACTGTGAATGTTTTTTGTTGGTGCCTCTGAAAAGTATTTGAAAGGGAATCATAATAAATAAATAAATAAATAGAAATTATTATTGGCTTACTTGGAAGATTTCAATAAACAATCCCTTATTTGAATTTTGGTGCCAACTTGTGATGATGACGACGACGATGAAGATGATTTGATGAGTTCCTTGACGTTGTAATTAACAGATGAGTAAATGTTCTCATCAGATGAATGGTTGATGGTGATCATTGACGGCAGTGAGGATAAAAACAACGGCGATGATGACGAAAATGATGACGTTCTTGTTGCTGCTGCTGCTGCTAATGTCGTTGACGCTGGAAGTACTTTATGAACAGATGTTTCTTTAAGCCCTGATGTCAATATCGTGCAAAGATATGACGATTATCAATGAAATCATATGAGTGTAGTGGATGATCCACTTGGATGGCGTGTGTAAAAGTAGCAATAAGTTCTCTGCATTTCTCTTGTTTGGACGTTCAAATGTCATGCATCTATTAAAAACGTTCATCCAAATACAAATTTAAAAAACATGCCAGGACTAAAGAGCAGTTGCTAACTGAAGGGGCAAAGATTGCAAGACTACAAAATGAAGGTAACAAACTTTTATGAACGTAATTCAAAAATGAAACGAGTTCCTCGGAGGCATGTGTGACGTTGACGCGATTGTTGTCATCATCAGCACCACTGTCTACGGAATCAACTCTTTTCTTACTGTAGATGTTGTAAAACTTGTTGAAGTCATTGCTGTCACTGTTGTTGTTGCTGTTGTTGTTATTGATATCGTTGTTAGTGACGTTGTTGCTGGTGTTGTTAATGTTGTTGTTGATAATGTTGTTATCACAGTCAACAATAACGTTGTTGTTGTTGCTGTCGATGATGACGTTGTCGTGCGGCATGCGACGAATAATCTCCAAGACATCAACCAGTGAGATATCCTGCCTCACTCGCATGCCAGCGTACTGAATGATGAAACATCGAATGCTTGATTGTGTGTGGAATGTTCGGTGCTGGTGCTGTTCGTTATTTGAATAATCATCTCTGAAATATTTAATCACATTAAAATAACCTGCTTGCGAATAACTTAACTCACTGATCGATTACAAACTTATAATAACATTAACAGTAAACTAAAAAAATTCAATCAACATAAATAATCAGCTAATCAATCAATCAACAAAAACTACTAATAATAAGAAGAAAATGAATAATTTTGGTTGTACCTGCTTGCCGTCGACAGCATGAAGTCTGCTTATGATTGGTTGTCTGATGGACTCAACATCAATTGTTGGATATGTTTCGTTCAGTTCCTAGTGCGTGCGTGCGTGCGTGTGTGTGCATGGTGCATCATTATAAATGGTCGTCACAAGTTTGATAAACATCCTAATTGGAGTGTTTAATGCCAGTCTCCGTCATAAAGTTGTCTGAACTTTGAAAATCATAAAATAAATGCATAAATATGTTGGGCATAAAAATCCAATAGATAGTGGTAAATAACTTTGAAGCGACACCTGCAGATATATTTGCAACTTTTCGTGAATGAGTGCCTCGCAGCTGAGCAGCCACAGTCGATCCTGCAAATAGTTGCACTTTAAATCAAACATGCTGGCCCCAACATGGCGGCCTCCTAACTCAGGGTTGTGAAAGCCCGGAGGGTCCACCAGTAAGATGGATTTCATAGCACCACCACTGCTGCTCGAAAAAGATGAAGAGGCGAAATACCTGTTGGTGGAATCATTAACGTGACATAATAAATAGTTTAGTAAAGGGCGCCAACTGAACGTTCATATGCCTCTATGTATTGTTAAGGCTGTCATTGTTTACAGACACGTGTCAATAAATATCTTTAAGTTTATTTGAAGTTTTTCGAATAGAACCAATAGACCAAACAACAAACACAGACATGAAATAAATTGAAGACGGCAGTATGATGCAAACAAAGTTTTATTTTCTATTTGACAGAGAATAAATTCGATACCTGTTAATTAGAGACACGACATACTGGAATAAATATTCATACAACGAATCAACAAAATGGCCCAAACTATCCAGACCAATCATCGATTGAGAAAATGATGACGTGTTTAAAGTTGTTGTTGTTGATGTTGTTGCTGTTGTTGATGTTGGATGCCGATTTGTAAAAACAATTTTGTTCATGTCATGTGTTGTGAAACCCAACAAATCAGCGGCATATCTAGCAGAATGATGGCGTGCAAACTGGTAGACGCCTTCAAACTCACCTGTGTAAAATATATCCTTTCAGTATGCCTAATAAATAAATCATACATTTTCAAGTTTTAGAAAGAAAAAGCGAAACTACAAACAGCTAACAGCAACAATACAAACAACAGTAACAACACAAATTTTCCCACAAACAACAGCAGTAACAATAAGCAACAGGCAACAGCAACAAACAATGCACAACAACATGAAACAAACAACAACACGCATCAAACAACATACTACAACACATAACAACTACAACATACTACAACACATATAACAACAACACACAACAAAACAACAACGGAAATTCATTTATTCAATTCACTCCTAAATAGTCTTCTTAGGACAAACAACCTCTTGCAACACCGGCTGCACCAACGTGATAGAGAGCGGCAAGAACCCTCAACACAACATTTACTTCCTCCTCGCTGAACTTCAGCGTCTCCATAGACTTCATTATTTCTTTCCATGTATCTCTTGCATATTTTTTATCCTCCGTCTTTTGAAGCGAAGTCATCAAAACGTTTGGTTCGTGCAGATGATTCAAGAACAATTCCTGTCTGCATTGTTGTCATACGTTGTTACTGTGTAGCTTGTATTTGTATGCAGACACATGTGTGTGTAGTTACGTACGGGTGTATGTATTTGTGTATAATTTTAAAATTCATTACCATATAAGTAATGAGGATGAATAACTGTTGAATATTTATGAGTTATTTGAAATTGAAATGAGAAACGAGCTATAAAAGTATTTCAATGGTATTTAAAAAGTCCATAGTTTATAGAAACACAACATACAAGAGATCTATTAACTATCCGACTTACTAACATTACCTGCCAACCACCCGCTGACCGAATGAATTATCCAAACAGCCAACTAACCAACCAGCCAACCGACCGACTGACCAACAACTGAACCTGGTTATAAATACCTGTATTGGTCATCCACTCCAGCAAGCAGTTGATAAAATACATGGAACGTTGGCTCACCATCCGGTCGTCTTGACAGGCGAGTTCTTTCCAAATTCAAGATCTACAGCAATTATAATATATTCTTCATACAGTTGTAAGTATTGTAAATAAGCATAATATTAATTAACTATAAATCTTTTTGAAATTTCAATAAAAGATGAGCAGAGGCTAAACGATATTCGTTCTTTGGGACCAGGAAAAAGAAGAAAAACTACTCCGCGATATGAAAGGAGAAAGACTTCACAACTGATACATTTAAACAAGAAATGGCGATACCCTAAGCATATAAACTAAAAATCGTTTTTGTACATTTGCGATAAAAAAATTTAACTTTCAAATTTTATTTCCTTTTTCCAACTTTTACGATGTTACGAAGATTCATTAAAAAATCGGACTCGGACAGATCTTGAGCCACACTGGAATTAATAGATGAGATTGATGAAATTTGTGAGCGGAAAAAAGTAAGATGACTTCTTTTAGAAAAGGTATAATATTTTAATAGTATAATAATGTTCTAGATGTTGTCTGGCTGTGGAAGGGAAGCTAAATTATTTGAAAGAGAGAAGTGATTCAGGGCATCAAATACACCTATAAACATTTTTCGCTTAATGTATTTCCAATATAAAGCATTAATATTTGGGGTAATTCTTGCTTGATTTTGGGCATAAGTGTTCCAGTTACACTGTTGCCCGTCACTGATAAAATAAATTCAAAGTAAAAAATTTAGAAAGCACTTAACGACAAAACATGAGCTAACACATTGGCGTGTGAAAGTAAACCAACTTGGAACTGAACACTGTTAAGTCTGGCCATCTGATCAAACTGCACCTTGACGATCTGAACGTATCTTGTTGCGTTCAAGTTGCTGATCGTTCTACAGTTCCCGAAGGCTTCCATTAATGTACTTGCAGCTTTTAACTGTAATTCTACAATAATATTTTTGGTCATGAAGAATAAATTTGCTCACCTTTTAAATAAAAAGATTCTTTTAAAACCAAATTGATATTATAACTCCTAACATGAAATCTTTACTTTTATTATGGAAAATGTTAATTTTATTAAATTATTAAGTGTTATTTAATAGTTGTTAATTCAACAGAAAAATATAAATAAAAACTTTTAAATAAAAGATTGTTGGCAACAATTACTGCAACATCAACGACAACAACAATGACGACAACAGCAGCAACAACAACCAACCAGAAGTGGCAGCAGAAACTCAAAGGGAAATAAACAAAGTTGCATGTAGATTGGAGCAAGGCAAAAAAAACGAAGTTAAACAATGAAAAATGTAGAGCATTTTTTTCAACGGCAGCAACTGAAGCAGACTGGTCATGGCCTATAAACATCAACAAGGTGCAGATCAGATTTGAAAAACACCCATCGTTTCTGGGCGTTAAGTATGATGGACTGCTAAATTTTGGAGAACATGCAAAACAAATAATCAGAAAAATTGTGAAGAGAACTGCTGTACCAGAAGCCCAGTGGCAGAGGAAATAGTTGGAAATAGGAAATAGTACTACGTAGCTACGTAGCTCTATAATGCAGTTTAGCTGAATATGGCTGTGCAGCGTGTGCAGCCCATAGATGGCGTCAACACACGTTCAAAAAATAGAACGGCTTGAATGAAGGCAGCTAGATTGATTAATTAGTTTGATTAGTTAGATTAGCTAGCCAAAAGAAGCTGTTCTATGTGATAAAAGATATCTATTACATACTGGAGAAATTGCAGCCGGGAAATGGATCACTACAACAACAGTAACAGCTGCAACGATACCAGCAACAACGATAACAAAACTACTTGCCGCTAATTTTATTTTGCGTAATTGAAGATTGCAATGGCGAAGAAAACGGCGATGAAGCTGTTGATGACCTGGCTGATGAAACTGTGATGAAGTAATGAAGCAGATGGTAGAGGCTTGTTGTTTTTCCGCCTCCCGATGGTCCAGACAAGATGATGGCCATGTTGTTGTCGCTGTAACAGCTGTTGTTGTTGTGGATAAACTGGTTGCTGGGTTGGTTTATAATGTTGCTGTTGTGTTGACTGTTGATGCTGTTGTTTCGACTGTTGATGCTGTTGTGTTGATTGTCGTGTTGATTGTTGATGTTGTTGTTCACGCTATCGAGACCGTCATCATTGAAGTTATTGAATAAAGCATCGTAGGTGGATTGGGCGGTGGCGTAAACATGAGGAATGACGTCATCACTGCTGCAGTCTTTAAACATTGACATGATCTGATTTTTTGAAACAACCAACAAACAGCAGGTGAATCAACCGTCATGACCAAGTTCCAAGCACTTATGGAGACATCGATTAAACTTTTCGAATAGCAATTTGATGAACTATATTCAACAAAATCAACATAGGTTGTCAACTTTTAAAAAATCAACATTTGTATAAAGATGCCAATAACAAAATAACCTTTTCAGAATAAATGCACAAGGGAAGTATGGAGTTAATGATGACCAGGGATTCTCCGACGAAAGTGTGGTTCAGATTGCTGTGAAAACGATGTCGCAGTGTATGCAGACAGCTGCATTCGTTTATGAATTTCAAATTGGAAAGATTCTCTATGCGATCATAGGCAGCAGGGTTTGCCTGACATGATCAAAAGGAATTTATTGAACGACCTACGTTTAAATAAAATTTGATAAAAAAAAGATCTAAACTTGAATAAGTAACTAAGTTTTATAGTAATCATGATGCTATAGTTCTAATAAATAAATAATCGCTTATATAAACTAACCTTTTCAACATCTGATTTGCTGATTTCAAGGTCAAGCTTTCCCCTGTCTAACTTGACCTTTACCTTTCCATCGGCAACATTTCCGCCAACAACGATAGCCGACGTGAAGCCTGACTGGTGTCTCACCCAAACAAGCTGTTACACATGTTAAAGTGTTGTTGTAACATGCACAATACAATGTAGAAATGAGGCCACCACCCGTAATAAAAAATGTTGGAAAGCTGCCAGATAGTATAAATTTATTAATAGCAATCACACAGCAATTTGGAAAGCGCAAATTGCAGTCACTTCAGTGGTGCTTAAAACTTGACTCCGCAAACAAATGTTTCAGGTATTTATTTAATTCACATTTACACATTTTATTATTTTTTTTTGTAGATTGCTTACGGACAAATTCATCCAGAAAAAATCGTAAATGTTTTTTACAATAGAATTTTCTATTCATTTATATCCGAAAACTTTTTTTCTGAAACTTGTCCCCATATTACTGGGCGAATATAAAATAATAAAAAACATGTTGAGTTATTTTAAGGAATGGCTGGTGGTAGAAGTGTCAAATATTGTTCAACCAAAACTCACTGGTGACTGTCGTACTTGCGTTTGATGCGGTGCCTTCGCAGATACAAAGTGTGCATGTGCCTCATGTATTTCGGACGCTATAGCCTGAGAAGCACGAAGCTAAATTGCAATTAACGAAGCCAGGAACGACATGTACTCGTTCGAACTGCATAATAAAGACTAAAATAATTATTCCAGTGAGATTTTAAACATACAACCTCTAATCCAGGATCGTCATCAACACCGTCCAGTTTGTTCAAATTCTTCTCAATACTGTTGATAGTATCAACATTTCTGTCATCATTATTCGTGTTATCATCCTCATCGTCATTATCTCCATGATGATGCGATTTCATTTTGTACTGGTGCTCCATCAACAATTTCAAGCTCCCGCTTTTCTTAAGAGACGGGTGTTTAGTTTTACTACATCTTTTGTTTTTGATACTATCAAGAAGGTCTGCAAAACCGCCGGTCCCAGAAGCACTCAGGTGACATCTGTTGACAAGTTCGTTCAACTCTGAAAGGGGTCTCACCTTTAAAATAACCTGTTGGTCGTCATGTCGTATCAAGGATGACAATTGCAACAGTTTTAACTAATTACGCATTATGTTTATGATTATGAATTGACTAGATCGTGTATTTTTGAACATTTATTTATTGAATTCGGGGAAATTTGAAAGTTTTTTAGTTTGCGTCCAATTCTAACGCTCCTACTAACATATTATAACATCAAATCATTCAGTGTGCAAGCTGATAATTTATTTATTGTTGATCGGTTGACAGTTTAATATTTTAAATTAATTTAATTTGTAAGAGCCTACAAACCTTTTGGTGTTGCGCTTGAAATTTAGCAATAAGTTCCTCAGCATGTGTTAGCTTCATACCTTCCACGTCGATGCCGTTCACTTCCACCAAACAATCTCCCGGTAAGAAATAAAAATTTTCGCCGACATCATCACTGTCCAACACATGTATCACTGTCTTCTGCTTATGACTGTTGCCAAGTTGCTTGCTGCTTAGGCTTGCTGCAGTTTTCTTCGCCTCGATGTTTGATCTAACCCACACAACTCGTTCCTGTAGAGTGAACTTGGTTGCATCGTTGTTTCTATAATCAATCAAAATTTCTCTGCCCGGACAGTGCGTGACGTAATCAGTTGTTGAATTGGGGCATGTGCTATTTGCAATCAGCTCATTTTCTAATATGCCATCATGTTTTGAATCAATTTCACTACAATTTGAATCGTGGTAATTCTTTTTGTTAGTCGTACGATCCAAAATGGAATTCTTGTTTTCAGCGTTTCTCATGAAAGAATCAATCACCGGAAAATATTTCAATCCGGATCTGTCCGACAATTTTTTGTAAACTTCCAATCTAGCCTGTTGTCTTTTGAATGTGTCCTCAATAATTGACAGGCTACTGTTACATCGTTTCTCTGAGTTGACGATCATTTTTTTGTTAGAAAAATTGTATCATAACACAAGGCATTTATTATTTATATTAAAAATGTATTTTACGAATCCAATTCTCCATCACATTCTTTATAAGGAAAGACTAATAATGAAGTGAAAAAGTCACTTTACAAAACAATCTTCCTACTGTACCATCACCGTACGTTGCCTTCTTTTTAATTAGTCACACAAACAAATTTGTTCTGCAAGTCCCAACACGCTTCATATTTTGCGTCCACTGTATGCACCATATTCGATATATATGTATATATATATATATATATATATATATATATATACACACATACGTACGTACATTATTTACATTCATTAAAATACCTGATCGAGTTTGAATGTAATATATAAAAACAAGTGTGCATGTGTCAGCATGTGAAAGGTGCATCACTTGAACGTATGATTGCGAGTAAATGTAGCATATACACGAGCGAGCACACTTGTATGTATGCAACCTACCTACACTACGACTCCTGCATGGAACACTCGCGAAACAACAATACAGGTGAAACCACGCATAATTTTTCCGAGCCTCATCGGCCAAATAATCAGAATTAATTAGTTGTGGTTCTCCGTCTGATTTTCAATGTTCGTTCAACTTTAATTTATTCATTTTCTTAGCATCACATTTATAAATGACGTTTGTAAAGTAATTTATTTACTCGTCTGCAACGTCGAACTATTTCAACTATTAAGAATTATCCAAAAATAATAATTTACAGCTGTTTCATTATAAACGCACTAATATCAAACGGAGAAAATAGAATATCTGAGACGGCTAGGTATCAAAAAGCCAACTATATATATATATATATAAATATATATATGCTGGTAAATATATGTATATATATATTAAATTAAGATTTTTATTGGCATAAAGATGAGCCGATGACCTGGGATGATTACGAATAAATGTATTATATACATGAGTGAGCCATATATAATGAACATCAATCTCTACAATAGTTATATGGATAAAAATAAACTCTACCTCAATTACCTTCAAAACCCAACGTCATGCAATAAAACTTTGTATGCTAGATCCAGAAATGATTTTATTAAATTGAAAAGAATTGCAATAAAAAAGTTTTATTCAAATAAATTTGAAAAATGTACCAATACCAGAGAAAAATGGAAAATTATGAATGAAATATTAGGAACAAATAAAGGTAACACCAATCTTTTTCAGGATGTTTCAGATATGAACTGTAAATTAAATATAGTTAACGGTATCAACAGTTTTTTCATTCAACAAGGCACAATATTAAATAATAATTTCAAAAATACTTCAAATGTTACTAACCTTGATGTCATGCAAAACCAAATTAACTCTTTTTATGTAGAAGAAGCATCTCCTGATGAAGTGGTGGCAGTTGTCCAAAAACTAAAAATTAGTAATACTTATGATTGTGATTTTCTGTCCTCCAATTTAGTAAAAGAGACTATAAAATATATAGCTGGGCCATTATCTATGCTATTTAATTATTCTATCAACATAGGTAAATTTCCTAGTCGTATGAAAATTGCAAAGGTTCTACCTGTTTTCAAGAATGGCGATCCTAAACTTTATGAAAATTATCGCCCAATATCGATACTTCCCATTTTTTCAAAGATCTTTGAAAAGCTAATGTTCAATAGACTGTGGAAATTTATTTTACAATTTAATATAATCAATAAACAACAATATGGCTTTATTCCCAAATCGTCGACTGAATGTGCAATTGCTGAACTTCACCAATCACTTCTCAAAAACTATGAACTGAAAAA